AATCCTGAAGTTGGTGTGCATCGAACAGTCTTGGAGATGAGGACGTACGCCAAGGGAGTTGCCACCAACCGCAGGTCCCGTCGTTGGTGAGTTGCTGTCCAGGCCTGCTCCAGATAAAATGGRAAATGAAAGAACCATAGATGATGCCAGATCACTCAGAAGAGAGTCATAGAGTTGGGCCGCAGGCCCACACACCTCCTAGACCGTCCCGAATCCCCCCATCATCCCACAAGTGACTTGTCATCTTGCAGGGAGTGGTGGAACGAGCGGATGAGTGATGGAAGCTGGCGTCAGAAGCGAGCGACGCCGGAAATAGCAGGAGGTTACCAGGCAGGTCTGGAATGGAGCAGCCAGTTGATTGAGGAGTTCGGCCCCGGGAAGCGATGGCGGAATGGAATGCGGAAGCTCCTCCTTGGGTTAAATGAATGGCTTGAAAGAAATGGAGTTGGAAGAAGTTGCATGACGTGCAATGATTTGGATGTGCTGTCGTTTCTTGGTAGTCAGTGGTTGGTGGCGATAGAGAGTAGGTGCCGGACTACTCACAATGAGGGGGAACCGAGGGTTTCTCCATCGACTGTTGATGTGGTTATCAATTGCTTGAGTGGAAGCTTCCGACTCTTAGGGCGAGAAAAAGGTGACGATCCGTGCCAGAGTGGTCGAGTAAAGATCTTTAAGAAGTCGTACCAAGAGTATGCTTTGAGTCGAGGTGTGGTTGAAGAGTCTGCGCGGTCATTGGGATGGGAGAAACTTATGATTGTGATAAGATATATTCGAAATAAGGTGAAGATCTTGAAGAAAATGCGTGAGGCAGAGGCTTATCGAGACGCGGCGATGTTTTTGTACCTGTGGGAAAGTTGGCAACGGTGTGGTGAGGGTCTTCGCTTACAATACAAAGAGATAGACATGGTGAAATGAGAAGTGAGACCCGGGTATACAAAAATTGACAGGCATGGCGGTCGATTTCTTATTCGGTTAAGAGAGCCTAATGATGAGGGAGAAACCTTTTTAGGGATTCTTCCGGACATGATTTTGTCTTATGAGAATGTAGATGTGGATGTGCGGAAAGGTTACTTATTTCGGGCCGGAAGAGGGAGTAGTGCACTTGGTGGTGGGGCTTTCAATAAACGAATAGAGAAGTGGTTTGGAGAGGCGGGAGTGTATGAAGGTGAGAGTGGTCACAACTTTCGTGTAGGGGGGTTGCGTGCAGGAATAGAGGAAGGTTGGAGTTTAGGAGAGATGATGCGTCAGGGGACTTGGAATAGTGTAGGAACGTTTATGCGCTATGGTTATGGGATGCGGCGGGGTTGGAAACGCGGAGTAGCGGAAAAGGAGATTGAAGAGGAAGGGGTGATTGGCGTGACGAGAGCGACTGATGGTAGCCAGGATTTAAGTGGTGAAGAAGATGGCGGAGAGTCCTAAGGTGGCGGGATTAGGGCATGAGTGATGCACTCTTGGGCTGGGTAAGCATGAAAATTCGGATTTAGGGATAACGAACTTGGCCGAGATGTCAAGTGAAAGGATGTGTGGAAGCCAGTTTGCTTTATTAGAGGAAGGGTAAATGAGTAAGTAGTTTGTCGAAGAAAGGGTTGCGTGGGACAAGACTTGATGAAGAAGTGCGGTGGGAGGGAAATAAGTTCCAGTCCAGTGAGAGTGCGTCGATAGCGAAAGCTTTAGAGGACCAAGATCTAGAGATGAAGACGGATGAAGTGTGGTGATAGTCGGAAGCGAAGAGTTCAATGGCTGGTGATCCAATAAGAGTAAAGATAGTATGCTTAACGTGGTCGGTGATTCCCCAGTCAGTATTGTCCTCAGTTTTTTAGAGGTTGTCGGCGACAGTGTTGAGTGACCTGGGAATCCAGATTGGAGAGAGGGTGGTGTCACGACGAAGAAGGATTGAGGCGATTTGGCGGAGCCATGGGTTAAAAACTAGGTCAGAGGAACGAAGATGACTAAGAAGGGCAATGGCTGACTGACTATCTGAGAATAATCTGATGGATGTGGAAGAAAGGAGATGAGGATGGTTGTCTTCGATGAAGAGGAGAGTTTGCAAGATAGCATAAAGTTCTCTGTGAGTTGAAGAGGTTGGAAGTAGATCTTGCGGCAAACATTCGTTTAAGGTGAATTTTGGGGCGTGTAATGGCGAAATGAGTGCGCCGATTTGAGTGGCGGAGGCGTCGGTTTGTATTGAGCAGGTTGTTTTTCGAATAGTCCATAGGCGGCCAGGAAGGTGAGGAAGGTGGTTTAGCCACCAAAAAAGGTATGAAATAAGATCATGGGAAATTTGAATCGGTGAGTCCCAGTTGGAGGGGGTGATAGATTCGTAAAGTGAAGAAATAAAAAGTGGTGCTGGTAGGAAGGCTCTTGTAAGGGAGATGAGTTTTCTTGCAAGCTGAGCCAAAGTACTGCTGGAGGGTGAGGAGTTGGAGATTAAACTGATGGTTTGAAGTATTTTATCGGCCTTATTTTCAGGAACTCTTACGCGCTTATAATGAGAGTCTATAGTGAAACCTAGAAACGTTATTTCCTGAGTTGGGAGGAAAACGCATGTTTGAAGACTAAGAAAAAAACCCAGGCTATGCATGAGTGCTACGTAGTTGAAAGTTTGTCAGATAAGGAGCGGGAGATTGGGATTGGCAAGGGCGGAGTCATCTATATAAGAGGTGATGAAGACACGACGAAGTCTGAGTTCAGCCATAATTTCCTGCATAACGGTTGTAAAGATCCAACAGGCTGCTGAGATACCAAAACAAAGAGTTGTGAATTGGTAGTACATACCGTTCCATTGAAAGGATAAGTAAGGTTTGTGGATTGGGTTGATGGGAATATGATAGTAGCCGTTTTTTATATCAAAACAAGAAAGGAAGTCCTGATTCCGGGTGCCGGAGAGGGGGGCAGTGAGATTGGTAATAGATTCATAATGGAACTCAGGGAATGAGATAAAAATGTTGACAAATCTGACGTCCAAAATAAACCTGGTTTTGGATGAGCTTTCCGCGGCAAAGACAGGGTTGACAACTATTGGTGAAGTTGAAAGTTTTATGACTCCGGTTGAAAGAAGTTGAGAAATAGTGGAGGTTATAAAGTCAGAGTGATGGGGTAAGAGAGAGTGATTTGGAATAGAGGTAGGAGGGGGTTTTATGCATTGGAGTACTCGTTTGAATTGGCCTGCTGAATAGACACCCTTCAACATCCTTCGAACTTCAATGATCTTTTTTACTGGAATATGCCTGTTCCCGACAAAGTTAAGTTGCACGCCATGATGGATCCATTGAAGAACAAAATGAGAGTATCTTCTAGAAGATGTTGATAGTAAGCGAGACCAATTTGAAAAAGAGTGGTTGGTTGAGGCAACAAAGAAGTTGTCTGGGTTGCAGAGCCAGGAGGAGGGTTCTTGGAGGGCGAAGAGGGCGAGTTGGAGGTCGAAAGTAGAAGGTGGAGTGATTAAATTGGAAAGTATCTGATGGGATTGAGAAAGGGGATGAATTAGTCTGATTTATGGCTGGTGATTGCGGAGGCTGCTTTGGTGAAGTCGGGCTGCTTGGAGTCGTTGTCGTGGTGAGCACGTCTCGCAATGCGGTTGAAGTCATAGCCTCTGTCCAGGGTGTCGTCATACTGCCTTTTCGAGGATGATTTCTTGAAATTTTTGGTCTTGATGTGGTCTTCCTTCTTTCGATAGCCAGAGGAATCTCCATCATGTTTGGAAAATCTGCAGAAGAAGAAAGAAGTAATAATAAGCCCATAACGCAAATGGCGTGGACCTATTAGCGATCGAGGGCGAGAAAATGAATTGGGCGACGACCCTTAGACTTACGCCTTGCAATGCTGAGACAGTAGTTGTACTCGGCCCGAATGATGGGCATTGCTTGCTCCAATCCTTCCCTGAGAGCCTTGTTGATGATCATTTTGACGTCGCTAGGAATCCGGTGGTCAATGTAGTCTTTGGCCACAGCGTTGAGTCTAGAAGAGAAGTCGCTTGACATTGCTTTCCCAAAAGGAAAATGGTGGTAGTTGAGGTTCACTGTGAAAAAACGAATGACCGCCTCCACTTGATAATATCATGCTGGTGCTGAGAATAGTCTATACCATGCTTGGAGTTCTTCGAATGAAGGTCTTGACCTGTCCTCGATACGAAGTTTGATAGCATGCAGTTCCGAGTTTAACTTATTGTAGAGTTCGTTTGATGCATGATTTTCTTCGTCCTTCTTTGTAAGTTGCTCCAGAAGGGCTTCAGCTGTAGCTCTTGCCTCTTCCTGCTGCTGAATGACCAGGGCCTTGAGCTCCTCGAACTGCTTCATAGAGACTATTTGAGATGCAGAGGTGGAAGTAGTGGCTTGCGTGATTGTTGGTTGAGGGTGATTGGTGAGGAGAGGAGGTAATGAGGATAAAGGTATGGTGGGCTGAGGTGGGGAGGGAAAATTGATTGGGAAGGGAGGTGGAGTGAAAGGTGAAGGATGACGGTTAATAGAAGGTTGAGGGTGAGGAATAGGTGGGGTATTGAGGACTTTTATCTTTATGGCCAAGGCGTTAACTCTGAAATGAGTTCGGGAATTAAGTGGTTGTACGAAAAATAGGAGTCGATCATTCTGATTAACCCTTGGGTTGAGACAGTCTATAACTTTAACTGGTACATAAACAGGGGGAAAGACAGGCAAGATTGCAAGGACTTCTGCACCAACAAGTGATTGGGGTCCAGATGCGTTGAGATAGGCGAGGAGTAGGGGGTCGATCTGCAAGAGAAGAAGGAAGAGTTAAAGTTCTGATCATACATATATATACATATATATACATATATATACATATATATATATATATATTTTTGACAGAGCTAGTAGAGTAAGGTCTTGATTATTTCTTTCTGACTTCTTTGCTACTGGTCATAATTTTGAATTTTACTAAAAGGTGATGATGCCTTGAGTTGGGAATTTATGTTGTGGCCAAGTGAGTCTGAATTAAGGATAATGGCGTTAAGTGGTTTTTCCTTGTCTCTTTTACTGCTGAGTTGTAGTGGCCACCTTCATGGATAGATGAGTGCGGGGGAGAGATTAGGAGGGTGAGGAGAGGCAATGATTAAAGGAGTTGATTGATCCCAAAGTTTGTTGTGGGGTTGAAATATTGCATCCCTAAGTAGTTCAAGATTTGTACCCTTGATGATTTTCAGAGCAAAAGCTGCAGTGTTGCTTTTTTTTTTTTTTTTTTGAAGAAGAAGGAGAGAGAGAGGGAAGGAAAATAAGAAGGGTAGAAATTGAATATGCAGGAAAAGACAGACTTAGTTTGTTGCTGCTATCCCCTTTTTTTTTTTTTTTTTTTTTTTAAGGCTTAAGAAATTGTAAATACTATCAAAACAATGCAAGGAAAGTTGTGAAAATGAAAATTGAATCCGACGGGGTTTTGCGAAAGGGGTTTTCAGGAATAAGAGGTCCGGAAGCCGTGGTGAAAGAGTCATTCATTACAACAGGCTTCTCTGCAGAGAAAAAACAACGGGATGTTAGAAAAGGGAAAATCCTCCTCTTGGGTGGGTAGAATGGAAAAACATTTCGCAGTACTTTGGGATAAAGGGACAGAGTAGGTGGTGAAGATTTCTCTATTTTCTTCTCCTCAAAATCTCTCTTTTTTTTTTTTTTTGAAAATTGGAGCGGCCTCAAGTGTCATGATGGTCTGGCTATAGTGATTCAAAATTTGTACCCTTGATGATTTACAGAGTAGAAGCTGCAGTGTTTTTTTTTTTTTTTTTTTTTTTTTTTTTTTTTTTTTTTTTTTTT